ATTGGGAGGTAGGCCTTTGGGAAGTACTTAGGTTTAGATGACGGTCTGATGGATTAGGGCCCTTATAAGAAGAGGTGGAGCCACCAGAGCTTCCTCTCTTCCCCACGAGAGAACACAGCAAAAAGGCAACCATCTGCTTGCCAAGAAGGCCCTCACCAAGTACCGAATCTGCCAGCACCTTCATCCTGGCTTTCCCAGTCTCCAAAACTGTGAGAAGAATGTCTGTTATTTAAGCCACCCAGGCCATGGGATTTTGTCATGACAGCCCGAGTAGACTAAGACAGAACAGCTACTTCTAGTGTCAGAGAGAACCGGGCCCTGGGTTTGGCTTCCTCACCTAGCTAATGGGATGGCCCTGGACTTCTCTGAACTCCCATTTACTCATCTCTAAAGCAGAGATAATAATACCTCCATTGTAGGACCATTGGTCCATTTAGGATACACACACCCAACCCTGCACTCCCGTTCCTCCTCCACACATGCACATCATGCATCCGGCCCTGGATAACTGGGACATAGTTGAACCTCCATATATATTTCTTATTGTTTATTGGTTTATACAAATAGAAGCTCTTTTGGGAGCTCTCATCTATGTGATGAATGTGATTTTTTAAAGGGGACATTTAGAAATTGGACTTCAATTTGGAGGTACAAGATTTTAGAGGCACTAAATTTGAAGGTACTTGAATTTGACTTATTTTTAAGATATTTGAAGATGGAAGCCAAAAAGATAACATCCATCTAGTCTAGAGGTAAGCACCCAATAATAAACTACTATGAATAGTAAAGAAAAATTGCTGCATACGGCTATTCCATTTTTTGGTTAATAGGATCTGATGTCACTGTAATGGTATTTAGTAAATTATAATGCTGCCATTAAATTATAATCCTGTAGCAAGTAGTTGTGAATTCAATTATGCTGCTTAGCTTCTAGCTATCCTGCATATTTCATCAAAAGCTGATTTGCCAATGATGGCAATGGCCTCACATTGCTATAAGGAAAAAGACATGTAGATAAAACTTGGGTTGAAAGTCAACCAGTTAATGAGAGGCTCATCAAAGTCCTACGCTAGCCCAGTCATTGAAATCATCTTCCACTGACGTGGGGTGCCCTGAGGTTTTCTGTCTCATGTTGTTCCATCTGTCCAGGCCCACTCTCCAGCTGTCCACAGAGAAGAGGAATGGGTGATTCCCTTCAACTTCCGTGTGAAATATGTGGCCAACGGTAGATCCCACCTGGGAAAGGGGAGGCTTCAGTCCCTGAGCTCAGGTGTGTATACCTGCTAGGAAACCTCAAGGGCAAATTAGCACCCAGAGAATATAGAATCTGGTTTGTAACAGGAAATCTGAGCGTCAGCTTTCAGCGACTCAAGTTTCTTTGGGGGAGAGTCTCTGAATTAAATAGCTTTTCTGAGGAGAGCTAAGAATCCAGGGTAGACAAGGAGGTCTTCAAAGCAAGGTCAGAGGCAGTAAGCAACATTCGCATGACCCAAGAAAGCCATTGTCCGGGATGCAAGCTCCTTGTAAGAGGCCTGGAGAGTGAAATGAAATGAAAAGAGAGGCCGAATGGGAAGAAATAAATTGTTCCTGTTGGCATAAATACAACTGGAAAAAACAACTTGGTCTGTAGGTCTTAGGACAGCAAAGCAATTGGCAGCTTGAAAAGCGGAAACACCCTTGGCTGTGCAGTTGTGTTCAATGCCAGGTTCAGATCTCGGCTTTGGTGGGTGACCTTGGGCAAGATCTGCCCTTGTAAATGGAAATAATGATCCTGTCTTGGGGCTATTGATATCGACGTAAAGCATCCTGACGCATTTCCAGTGTGCAGGCAAAGAGACTGGGGTCTCTGGAGCCAGATTGCCCTGGTCTGGATTTGGTGTCCACTACTTACTAGCAGCATGATTTTGGACAAGTTCTTTTACTTTCCTGTGCCTCGGTTTGCTCACATGAAATAGAGCCAACAATAGTACTTTCCTCAAAGTGTTGATGTGAAGAGTAAATGAGTAATGTATGTAATATAGTTAGAACAGTGTCTGGCATCTAATACTATTACTGTATAAGTATTTGTTGTTATTGTGATCAGGCATGGTATTATCACTTCTTGAGGAACTATATGGTCTTGAGAGAATATTGAGTAAAGAAATAGAAATGGGGAGGATACTTGAGAGAGAATCAGTAGCTGTCCTCACTGTATATGTAGAATGACCTTGAGTCCATTTCTGCCTGACAGAGGGGCACACTTTCCGACATCATTCATCCAATTGTGATGCAGAGCTGGGGTTCGAATTCTGTTATACTGCAGCACCTCCTCCTTAGACATCCAGTGCTGTGCAGCCAAGATAAAACCTACCTGATTAGTGGGCTCCCTGTCTCCAGGATTTGATTATTAATCGAGGTCAATACAATATTGTAAAGCCTTGGTTTGGACCGCCACCGGGAGCAGCCGTGCAGCTGCGAGCGTGCGAGAGCAGAGGAGCTGACTTCCTCTTTATCGAGGGGGAGAAGGAAATCCCAGTATCTAAAGGCAGGGAGAGGCGATGTTGATTCCTGACTAGATTCTAGAAGATCTGTGTGCTAGGCATGAGAGGTTTTCACCAGTATCTGGTTCTCCCAAAAATTAGGCAAAGGATTGAGCTCTGCCTCCTGGGAGTTCATTGTGGGCGTGCAGAGCGAGGGATGTATGTCAGTTTTGGGTGGAAGCACTTGCTGGGGTGCAGCTCTGAGCCCACTCCTCCCTGGTACCCATGGCAGAAGTACATCTTGACTTAAAAGGGCCGTGAGAGCAGAATATTCTGGAATTTTGAGCTAACGCAAGGAGGACTTTGTGGTCCTGGAGAGGAAATAAACTTGTGTTTGTTGGGCCACTGTTACTACCTAGCCCTCAAAGACTATTTGCTTTCACTCATTCACACATTCATTCATTCTTTAGTTGGTTCATTCAGCACATGATTATTGGGTATGTAGGGTGCTCAAGCCCTGGATGCCCTAAATCACTTGTTAGCTCTTGAAATACAGATCTTGTTCTCCACTATATTTGAGTGTTTGGAGGCACTGAATTATGCTGTTGAACTGTTTGTCACAATATTACTGTTGGTGTATTGTAAAAATTACAGTGTGCTCATTGTTCCCTCTCCCTGTACTCATTTCCTTCCTTCCAGCTGATGGTGAATTAAAACAGATGCGGAGAGAAGAGGGCAGAAACGCAACCTTAGGCATCACAGACAGGGACAAAGGGAGTGTTGGGTCACATTCTATTGGGACATATTTGGGATGCTTTCTGTCACGCATTTGCACCAAGTACACTTTCCCAAGAATGAAAAGCAAAATAAAACAACACACACAGGTCAAGGATTTGAGGTTTGTTTGATTTGGGTTGTTATTTGGGAACCAGAGAAAGCAAACCAGAGGAGCTTTGCTTGTTAAGTCAAGATGAGCATATTCTTGCAACTAAGTTAGTTTGCTCAAATACTTAGGGAATAATATCTACCCTCTAAAGGAGATAATAAGGATTTTGTAAAAATCATATGCAAAAATAGTGTTCTGCAGCCAGCTGGCCCTCAGACTGTCCAGTGGCTTCCTGCTCTCGCATCCGTACACCTTCACTTTGCCTGGTGCTGGACCCCTCAGTGGCATCTGACAAGTGACATTTGTGTGTTGAATTGACTGAGCCTCTCACTTTTCAAGCAACTGTGTTGGCAACAGAAAATGTAGCATCAACTCATTTATGGCGGCTGCTATAACACACTAAAATGCAGTAGAATGTGGAAAAGGGAAACTTTCACAGCAACGGAAGCTCCCATTGTCCCCCAGCACTACAGGGCTTTGTAGCGTGATTTTAAAGGCTGTAAGTCACAGGGAAGAGAGGGTTTCCTGAGCCTCTGGGGTAACCTCTCTCTTTTCCGTTCCATGTGATTGTGAATGGAGTAACTGAAAGGCTAAAATGGTCTCCAGATTAGAGAACCACGCAATTTTGGTTTGTTTCTGTATTGCTAATGGGATTGTAGAAATAAATATATTTTATTTGAAATTTTTATTTGCTTAGAAAAATAAGACGTTCTCATAAAAACTCAGAAACTACAAGAATATATTTTTATACGTATAAATTGACTTTTAAACATATTTAAAAGTGAAACTCGTTCTGCTCTTCCTACTAGACATAATTACTGTTTATATATGTAAATAGATATACACACATATCTAGTTGCATATAAAAGTCATATAATTATATATATAATGTAATCTCAGCTGTGTATAGTTATAGAATATTTCACATTTTTCCTACTGTTATATATAAAATTTTTTCTTATTTTAAATATAAATTTACATACCTCTTTTTATAAACCTTATTTTATTGGCTGTATAATATTTCATTCCATATTCACAATGATGATTTTTTCATGTAAAAATTTCCTGTCAGTATAAAATCATAGGCTGTTACTCTTTCTACCTGCAGACGCATCATGCAACTATGAGAAGATGTTTGTTAAATCAATTGCTAAAAAAAAAAATGCACAGAATCTGGCTAGCAGTAAGTATCATGTTCACCCACTCTCGTCCAAAACTAGAAAGAGTTAACATATGTGCTGTCACCGCAAGCACGAGTGTGGGAAGGAAAGCATTTCTCCTCCTGAACCGTTTTTAAATCACACCCATAACGTGGCTGGAAGTGAGTGTCAGGCCAAGAGAGAAGCGTTCCTCTGTTCCAAAGAATACCGCAATAGGATCACAAACGAGGCAACTTGGAACCCAGCAAAGCGAAGGTGCAGGAAGCGACTTGATTCAGTTACACCGTGTCTATCTGTGTAGACTGTTCAACAGCAACAGTGTTGTCATTTGCTAATTATGCAAAGAAACACTTTTCACTTTGTAAAATATATTTCATTCATATATATTAAATTAAACTAAAAGGAGAAACTTTTTGAAGATTTCTGGTTTGGATTTTTAATTCTGATTTAAAGAATGACTCAGCCGTTTTGAATTCATAAATATATCTTACTTACTTAGTTGCGTCCACAATAGATGGGTCTACCATCATGCCATTTGTTGGCTCTGCTAATGGCCCACTCTTCCAGAATTAGAAGCCGCTGTCTAGACCTCTTGACGGGTTGCAGCCCAGGCTGTGATCTTCCTGGCCTGCAGGACCTCTCCTGCCAAGAAGCGCCATCCCCATGCAGGCTTGGGAGACACGTTTCATCTTGGTGTTGTTTGCAGACAGACTTTAAAAAGCTGTTCCGAGAATACATCTCTGCCAGTAGTTTAGTATGTCAAACCGAGGACAAGAAGTTTGCTCTATTCTTAAAATGCAACTATTTGTATATTGGGAATACTGGCCAATGAGAAGGAGAGCTGAAGGTCAGGAAAACAACTAGGCTGCTCATGTCAGAGCTGAGTCATGGCGCCCCATGGGATTCTGGAAAGGCCTTAAGTGGTGTGGGAAGGACTGAAAGGGCGAGCACACCCCAGGGGTGGCTGTTTTGTGGCTTCTTGAGATATTAACTCCTCCATACTCAGGGGTACGGATGGGAAATGACCAAGCTAGAAGAATTCTCTGTTTATTTAAAAAAATTTATGGAAAAATAATAAAATCCTAAAGATAAGAGTGTGGGAGGCACTGTGGAGAGGAAGAGGCATGAAGAATGTACATAAATAGTTCTTCCCAGGGAAACCGGACCTGGGAAGATGAAAGACTTATGCAAAATTTGGTATCCTTGAAACTCTCAGTATGCTTTTATTAAAAAAAAAGAAAAGGCACTGACTATCCCTGTATTGTCCACTACCCAGGCAGAGAGGAGGGCAAGCTGCATGATGGGCACGTGACTGCCCAGCCACCTGCCTGTCATACCAATGTGGCCTCAAGGCCAAGCCAGAAGGACTCCTCCGTGCGAGTGAAGAAAACCGAGCAGAGGATAATTTATGGCATGTGCTTGGAGATTCCCTTAAATAGAAAAGACAGCCGCTCAACTTTTCCCAGCATGTGCACCATATTCAATGCGCCACATTGAATACACGGGAAACACAGACCTCCGCAAATGTCTGGACGGGATCTGGGTGCAAGCACAACATCCCGATTGCCACGAGGCCCCGAATTACTGCCTAATGATGCCCACCACTCAGAAGGATTGCAAGGTCAAGTGAGGGAAGGCCGAGAGCACACCTCACCCAGCGTCTGCACCGAGCTGGCCCCCTGTACGTCAAGGCTCATTGCCTTCCCCAGACTGTAAATTCGACCAAAGAGGTAGCTTATTAGATAATAACCCCCAGGTCATAACTCACTTTAGAATACATTATAAATTATGATTTATACATACTCTTAATTGTAAACTGAACATTACATTAAATTTGAACTTTAAATAAAATTAAAATTAATTAAATTCCTCAGTCTACACTGAGTAGATAGTGAAAAGGCACAGAGTGAGAATCTGGAAATTAAAACATTTACAATGGATACCCTGCAACTAGATAATGCTGAAGTGGCTAGTATTAGGTGTGCTGACTAAATTCCCCACAGCAGCGCGTTGGTTTAAAAGTGACACTGCGAGGTCACTGTGCTGACGGTAGACTAACATTGAATTACTACACGTAGTTTTTGGAGGTAGCACATACGTAAATAATTTTTAAAACATCGAAGTCTAACTGGGTTTTGATAAAATCTGGTCTGATGGGTCAAAATTATTTGCTGAATTTATTTAAATCTTAATAGCTGCATGACTAATTTCCTTGGAATGATCACTCTCTTGAGGGCTGCTTGGGCAACCTGTTTTCAATCCCCAAAAGATGAACTTAAAAGAGCATTCGTTCTCAGATGGAGAGGATAGGGGTGTGTGTGCAGTAACTTGGTGTGGTGATATGTTGGAAGGAAGGGGAGATTTAGAACATAGCATCAGACTTTTCATGGAACGACTGCAAGAAGAGACCTCAGACCGGAAGTGGTTCCCAAGTCAGGAAAGGCGATCCAAGGTCTGTTGAATATTCTGACCACGGAAACGAAGGTAGCGTGCACAGCATATAGATTTGCTCCCCATCCTGGGACTCCTCCTGGAAGGTTGAGGGAGAGTTGGCTGAATCATTTACTGTCACCCACCACAGCCCCTGCTTCTACTATGGAGAACGTCCACATGCGGTCTGATGTGGTACAGCCTGCCTTGATCGGCGACTGGACCTATGGTCCTCTAGGCAGTCACTCTGGGCTGCTGATTGGCCAGAGAGGAAGGAAGTCAAGAATGCACCTAGAGGCATGGCCTTAGCCTCCTTGAGGCGCTCAGCTGCCAGCTGAGTTGGAGTATACAAAGAAAAAACCCCAAGAGTTTTCACTGTGAACCTTTCCAGACCTTTTCATTTCTTAACTCCTGTGAAAAGAAAATTGATCTCAGAATCTTACACATTTAAATATCTACTTGGACTGAAAATATTTTATTATTTAAAATGCCTGCGAAGTCATCGTGTTAGAGTTCGTATTTCCTACAATTAGAAGGAAGGAAAACAATTAGCATTTTGTAGCCACCTACTATGTTCTAGATCTTGGGCTCAGCAATTTTAAATATGTGATTTTTTTGTCAGAGGGATGGGTGGTGGAGTGGGGGGTGAATTTAGGGCCCCAACGTGCTCTCATACTGATTCCCAGATTCCTGCTGAAGACTCAGATTGGGTTTTTGAGAAACTCAGCAGCAAAAGGGTGAGCAGTTGTGGTGTAGGAGGCGTTCTTAGGGGGAAAGCAAAGTGGAGAATCTTAGCCCTGGTGGATGGGGGGCACCAGCAAAGAGCAACAGGTCCACAGGGTGGGAGGGGCACCAAGGAGGCGGTGATTAGCCAGCCTCCATTTGGCTGATGGGGTCTTGGGGAAGCCTTCTCACAAGAGGTTATAGTTGAGTAGGGCCTTGTAACAAGAATCAAGGGCATTCCAGCAAAGGGCACAGGAGAGATGGCGCATAGAGGTCAGGGTGAAGGCAGGGTTAGGGCATGGGGTGTTGGGAGTAAGATGGAGCCCACTGGGGCTACCGCCAGGGCTGAGTCGAGTGATAAGAGTCCTGTGTCCTCCAGGCACTCTGCCCTGACGTGGTGCAACAGATGCAGCTGGCTGGAAGGGCCTGGAGGATCAGTGACCCAGTTCCCCAACTTGCTCAGAAAGTGCCCCGGGGAAGACTGCACAAGCTTGCCTGGAGTTTGTAAGCGCATATGATGGAACTCCGAGTCCTAGAAGTTAGAGAGAACAGCAATTTCATTTTATGTTGAGAGGAAATTCTTAGAGCAGACTATTTCGTATCTATTATCTTCATTACACACATGAATCATTTGAAGGTATTTCCTGAGGACATACCCACTATGCGTTTAGAGCTGTATGTGTATAGCTGGAGAGCGGCTGCAGCCCGCCAATGGGAAACTTCCAGTTGGGTTGGATGACTCAGTCCATCCCAGGCAGTGGGGTGAGGGCTATATGGTGCTGACTTGGGGCAATTGGTATCGGCTACAGGGCAGAGAGAGCTTCATGAACTGAGCCTGGAGCGTGATTATGTTCAGCTGGGTGAAGGGGAGAAGCAAAAGCCTCTCATGGGAGGGGAAGCTCTGGAAATGTGCTTTTGGGTATGAGGTTGTGAAATGGAAATCATAGCTTTGGAGATCAGCCTTACTGGAATGGAATAAATCAAATGTAACATGGCTGGAAGGAGGTGGAATGTGTGGAGGACATCAATGTTTAGATGATTGAAGAGCCAGACAGAGAAATTTAATTCTGCTGCATTAGGCAAGAGTAACAAGCACAAATGCGTCAATGTCTTCAGGGCGAGGCAGCTTTCATAGCTTGAGAAGCCATCAAGTGTGGGGCGATAGGGAATGGTGAAGCCTGTGGTGAAGCAGAGAGTGCAAGGCAGGCCTGGAGATACCAGACTCATTTTTTAGTATAGTGACAAAACCCCCAAAATTTGCTGTAGTTGTGGTCATTGGTCTCTGAATTGGTTGACTCTATTTTTTTTTGGGGGGGGGGGGGAAGATAATGTTAATATTGTAAACTTTCTCAAGAAATGGAGTAAAAGTAGTTTTAGGACTTTGGCCTGATACTAAATCAAGAGGGGAACAGAGACAACTAGTCAGGGAGAAGGTGATTTCTAAATTCCAGGCATGAAGCCATAAGGCCTGGGTGCTGTGGGGAGGAAAGGTCCGTGGGTAGGTGTTGAAAAGGGTGACTGGGACCAGAAAGCAGATGGAGTCCAGGAGGTCCACGCTGAATTTCTGAAGTCCTACAATTTCCCATCTCCTGAGCCAGAAATTATAAAACCAGGATAGTTTTACAAATAAGTGCTGGAATAAAAAAAATCAAAACAAACCCAAAAAACCCACCTGTTCCTAGAGTCTTTGCATTTTCTTTGTTATTGTTAATAACGTTCCTGTTTGCACAGATACACAGTCTGATATTAGTTCATCTCCAGGAACCGTGGTGAGGTAAGTGAGAAAGAAAAGAGAGAAAGCAAAAGTGGGATTTTAATGAAGGAAAGTGAAGCATCTCCAACTTAAAAACAAGCAAAACATTGTCATGATTATTGAAAATAGAAACCTGAGATCAAAATCCAAAGATTTTACAAATCCATGCACTCTTTATTAACTCATCCAAGAAAAACTCCCACAAAAGATTTCTGAGATGCCGGGAGTGGGGGCAGGGTATAAATAGCTGTGCTGGAGACAGGAATTCAGACGGTTCTAAGCATGCTGACAGTATGGTAAACAAACGAGCAGTTGCCTTCCTGACACAAACATTGGGACTCGGCTAGTTTTGATTTCTAGCTCTGATTCTGTGTGACTGTGCCACCGAAATTAAGATTTCTCACTTTACATCTCACCATTCTTGATGGGGCCAGAGCTGGTGCAACATTACATTCCGTCTAGAACGATTTCACCCTCAAAGCAAAACTGCAACATCTCATATGGCAACAGAGCGTTGTATTCATGACTGCCTTTTCTTCCTTTCTTCCTTTCTTTTCTTTCTTTTCTTTCTTTCTTTTTTTTTTTGTAAGCAGAAAAATAATGTGGTTTGATGCAATGGCCCAACACAATAGGAGCTAATGAATAGAGCGTGTTGCTCTCGAGAGACTGCAGTTCAATTACTGGTGGTGCCAATCAAGGCAGAAATATTAACCATGGTAACCACAGATTTCCAGCTCTATAGATGCATCAGGGAGGCAGTTGCTCTTTGGGAATCATCGGGGTCCTGGGAGGGAGAAGGGCTTGGAGTGACAAAGCACCACTGAGCCGGTGAATGCCGCCTTCACAAAGATGG